TGGGAATAACTAAATAGGGTAGATGTGCAGTCCGTGTGTCTTTTGGTCATTCAGTTTTTATGTCTAAACCAGTTTTGAAGAACAGGAATTCTCATTTTTGGTTCTGTTAATGTCAGTGGAAATATCAAGAAATAGCTTTGCTTTATATTTTCACAAACTAATCATAGAATTAAATCACAATAAACAGAAGTAGAATAAAGAGTCGTACTTTTCTCATCCAGATTTAAAGTTTCCTATCACTTTAACTAGAAGTAAATGTGTAGAGTGCACGTTTGGTCACAGAAGCTCAGAATTCAGGCAGTCGTGGTTAAAAAAATTACAAACACAGGAAAGATTATCTGCATCAGCAGCTGATCTGAGGAACACAAAGCCCTCCGTTAAATGGTGGGAGTCCAGTTTCTTCCCTATATTGTTTCGTAGTTTTGCAGATAGAGCAAACAATAATACATTAATACTAACAGGCTTGATTTCTGTGATTTCTGAGCTTCTGTGACCATACATGCACTCTGCATGTTTATTTCCAGTTGAAGTGTGAAATGTTTAAATATGGATGAGTGAAATATGACACTTTATTCCATTGTTGTTAGTTTGCTATTTGATTTTATGATTAGTTTATTAGCTATTTCGTTATTTTTCCACAGAAAATAACAATCAAAAACGAGAATTCACCCATTTTCCCGTTTTTTATTACTGATTTTGAAATGAATATCAAGTGAACAAAATATCCACGTTCTCTGGCTGCACAGCTAACACAGAATAATTTTATGTAGTTAAGCAGATTCCAGGAGAATTTTTCTTTACATGTTCTCGCAAAAAATAAAATCTTGGCAAATTAAATAATCTTAAATCTTGTAGATATACCTAATCTTTTCCATTTAGAGATTGTTGTAATAAGATTGTTTAACTTATTTCTAGATATTTTGTACTTAAGTCATTTTATTAAGTGAAATTATCTCACTGTGTTGACAGATAATTTTGCTTGTTTGTGGCATATATTTTGTAACCTGCAATACTGTCTGCTAATATAGTGTGATGTGAAAAAATGTCTAGACATAAGTAATCTTACGTATTTAGATTGGAAAGTTTGCCTGTTTTAAACAACATAGGGTTAACTGTATGTTTGCAACTGTTACACCTAATCCTCCCTCCATCTGTGCTATTACCTCTAGAGATCATAGGCCCTAACTTTGTAGTGTCCCCCACTTTTGAAACCAAATGTCGTTACTAAATAGTTCAATTAATTTGTGCAATTAATTCTCATTTTTAGATAATTAATGGTCCTTCATGTTTTTAGTGCACTGTCCATATGGCATGAGTAATGGACTATTATTCACATATTACAGTGCTAAACAATGCATTTCAGACAAATTTTGTTTTTGGAACGTGCAATTAATCACACACACACACACACACACACACGCATTCTCACATTTACTTCCTCCTCTCTCTACCATGACTCTAACTGAAATTGCTTGTTGCCTATATTTCCTCTTGATTCACAGTTTAGCAGGTACAGTACAAAACTTTATTCTACAGGTGACCGATGAACAATGCTCTGTAAAAGTGTGGCAGTTCTTTGATTTCCTTATGAGCCCTTAAACAAATAAAGCCTGTCTCACTCACTGTAACCTTACATCAAGACTTTAGTTTAATGGTGTTGGAGGCAAATGAAAAAACAAAACTATTTTATTGCTCAAATGTTGCTGTTTGCTGGCTCAGGAGAATCAGTGGTGTTACTCCTAAAATTCCTTAAGCAGAAATACCATTAGACAAAAAGCAGACGTGAGATACAAGACAGAGATAAATAAGAATGAGAATTTAGTTGCAGATAAATATGAACATTATTATTAGCAAATCTGAGTGCAAAGTATGACTTTATTGAGCTCTTCACTAAAACTCAAGAGGAGACAAAAGAGCTCCTTTTGGGTTATTTTTCTCTGAAGAAATATCTGAGCAGCAGGAGACTTAAAGGGGAATTCTGCCAAAATTTCTGCATAATTTAATCATAAAGATATAAACAGTCAGTCAGAGTGGTTTGATGTGAAATGAGTCAGAGTCAGAATTGTTCAGAGTGGTGCTCATAAGAAACCATTGTTTGAAGTGTTACATGAAATGGTTATGAATATGCTGTCTGATGCCCAAGGCATTGTTTTATAAATGTTTTGAGAGAAAGCTTTGCTATACATGTGTATATATATATATATATATATATATATATATATATATAAATAATATATATATATATATATATATATATATTATATTTGCCAACAGTTTACAATTTATTACTATTACATGTAAACCTTAACATTACATATAAAAACCTCAAAAGACCTAAAAGACGCATAAGTTCACTTGTTCGCTGTTTTAGCTCTGGTTTCACATGCATTGTAAAGAAATCTGAAATGACAGATTTTTCTAGAAAGCACCATTTCATATCAGACCACTCTGATTGACGTCATTTACCTTTCACTAATTGGATTGTGCAGAAATTTTGAAAAACTGGTGGAATTGCCCTTTTCATCCTGACATTCTATCACGTCATTGCTGTCTAGGAGAAAAACGAGATATTAAGGAGATCTCTTTTTTATTTTTATTTTTTACAGGTTGGCAGATTTTGGTAGTGTAGTGGTCACTGAACCTTTGTGAGATCATGTATCCGAGCGAACGTTTATGATGCCCCTAATGGAGCCACTTACAGTAATGTTTTTATAACTGCACACATCAGAAGAAGAATTCATGCAATGGAATTTGAGGCCTTTTAGTAGTTTTAAGGGGAGTCATTCTGTTTAATGCATGGACAGTGAAGAGCATTATGTCTGTAAGTGCATGCAAGCTGCTGTGCATTGTTAGCAAATGTTTGGAGTTTATGAAGAATTAGATTTGTGGGCCAGGTAATATTACAGACTGTAATTTACAGTCTTGTATGAACTGAGTTATGGACTAATGCATTGGCTAATAAAGTTCTATGTAACCATCTGCTTCTCTGCGTTGGTGCTAGTGTTTATGATGGAAATATCAGGCCTTGGCTAACACGAATGCACGACTGAAAGCAATGTAACAAGAGAGAAGGGTGCGTATAAAGAGATTTAGTGGCTGAGGGAGGAAGGGCTCGCCCTGTTCAGCTAAACCCCTTGAAACGAGCAGAGTCAGTCGAGTTAAGGGATAAGTGTGTGTTCTGGAACCTCTCTGGTTTGGTTCTATTGCATTTCCACAAATCTCACCTCTCCGAGCTCCTCTAAGCCACCTGGGTGGATTTGAATTCTTCTGGAGTGGGGAAATAAAGCTTAATACCTAAAGTGCAAGAGCTACTTCAGAGAAAGTGGAGAGAGAAATCATTCGTCATTTTCCTGTAGGTCTAACCATCCAGGACAAAAGTAACAGGGTGATGGGCAACAAATCAGATTGTATGTTGGTGATGCTTAAATGTAGTGTGTGAGGAAAATATTGAAGATGGATCATTTTAAAAATGCTGGAAGATATTGAAAACATTCGAAATATATAAAAAAAATATGAACAATATCAAAATATTTTACAAATGCACAAATGCAATTCTGAAAAAGCTGGAAGAGGTAAAATGCAAATTAAACTGAAAGCAGTGATTTATAAATCTGTTTTGACCTGTATTTGAACAAAATCAATACAAAAAAAAATGTTTTACCTTATTAGCTTTGTTTTTTGTACAAACATCTTGAAAGTGATATCTGCAACTTGTTCCAAGAAATTGAATCAGGGACAATTTAACACTAGGAACATTTTGAAATGCTCAAAAACGAGTGATGCTTGGTATAAAAGAGGCATCCAGGACAGGAGTCTTTTATGAGCTGTGTTTATAGAACATTATCAGTTGATATTTAGGCTGGACACATTTTTCTTAAGTACTGCTGCTTCTGTGCTAAAAGTCTTGCAAACCTGACACAGTTTGTGTTGGCTGGGTTGATTTGTTCTGTTGTGCTTGTCTAAAAATGACACCAAAGGAAACTTTACACAGTATTGCTAACCAGATAAAAAACAAAGTTTAGTATTTAGTTTTTATGTATTTTCCACTGTTTTTTCAAAACAATCTGAAGCTGTTTTTATCTGTCAGTACCACTAAAACTAAAAATCAGTTTTATTTTATCTCACCCGTACTGGAATAGATAGTATTTGATTGACGTAACAACAGCAGCAAAAAAACAAAACAGCGGGAGCTTTTATGGCATCACAGCTGTCCTACTTTGTGAGAAAGAAAGAGGCTGAAGAGCTGAGCCAGATAGAGAGAAATCTTTGGATAATATCCAGGAAAAGCTCTCAGCCATCTTCCATTACCAAAGTTTGCTCTCATCATTTTGTCACGGGTAACATAGACAGTTAGGTGAAGAATGAATTTTGCCCTTGGCCATTTTCGAATGTTGAGAATTATTCATGATTTAGCTACACAATGAATGCATTTAACACCAGAACATTAACTAGCAGGGCTCATATAACTTAGGTTGTCATCAAGTTAACAGAGCTCATCCTCATCAAACAGAGACACAGAGCTGTTACTCATTTTTTATGATCACATTGACATTTGGTGGTATAGCTGGTGGTAAAGACACAATATAGCTGACTCTTCTCAGACAAAGTAGTTACATGATTCTAGCGATTTGTATGCTTTTACCTCCTGTCATGCATATCTCTGTGATGTATAGGTGATTATAGAAGCCTGGATATGTTACTGCAAGCATTAACGCATAATTGGGACTCAAAGATAACTTATCGATACAATACGGATCAACACCTCTGATCAAACTGACCTTTTCTTGGTATCTTGATTTGGAAGCCATATCAGGCATTGACTGCTCGTACACATTATGCTGACGGAATGTCAACAATATGACTGCGAGGCACTTTTTCTGGATTGTGCGAATACTGTCTGTACCAAACCATATATTGCCCAGCACTGGCATTTAATTCAATGATCTATTTTCTTTTGTCTTTTACTGACCTTTTGAAACCCTTGCTTCTGTGAACCGCAGGTGGATGGGAAGATGTAGCTGGACATTGAACGAAAGAAAAACGTGATCGTTCACAAGCTCAGGTCATCCCTGGGAAGTGCGTGGCCCACGGAGCACCACCCACCATGTCCAAGAAGGCACCCAGTGGGCGGAGCAAAGGGGAAAAGCCTGATGCCATGGCAGCCCTGCAAGCAGCCAATGAGGAGCTGAGGGCCAAACTCACGGACATTCAAATCGAACTGCAGCAAGAGAAGAACAAGGTAGGCAAAAAAATATGTCTTGCAGGGACCTAATGTTTGTGCATATTATGGAAGCTAAAGTACAAAACGTTGCCAGTCCGTTTGGGCAAACTAACCTGCAAAAATGTTGTTTTGAATTTGTTGTTTTAGTGATGTCACAAAATTCAGTGTATGTATGGGTAGCTGCCTGTTGATGCTACAGCAGGTATTCTCAACTTTTTCCGCAGCTCACCTTTCTGTAATTACAAAGCATAGCAGCCCACAGAAAAGCTAAAATCATCTTTTTAAAAACAATTTTCTTTTTCTTTTCTTAAGTGCTGTCACTGAAAACCTGAAGTACTGGGGCCTGAGGAAATTTAGATCATCTATTTTTTATTCCATCACAGGGACCAAAAAAAACCCATTAATTTTTAAAAACAGCGTAAAGAATAGAAAATAATAGAAATGTACAAGGTCATTGTTTGGTCTGGAAATGTTTCTTTCATTTTGAGGGTGTTTGTGATTCATTTGAAAGAGTCAAACTACCCTCCACTCACAGGGCTTTTGAATTGTCAGTAATAGTAACCCTTACTTCATATCTGCTTCTTTTGTATTGGTTTGTCAGTTTAAACACTCAGGTTGCTGATGCTTGGCCAAAAATACGCTCTGCGATCCATGAGTCAAAATCAAACACCAGTCTTTGCTGTTATTTTATTGCTTGTTTGTCACATTTAAGAGCAGCTCATGCTGCAGGAACACTGAGAGCAAATGAGAATCTATCAGAATCAGATCAGAGTCAGATGCTAAAACAGGCAGATTATGCTGACAGTACAGCACTGGCGTGTCACTAGAAGAGGAGGAAAGCAAGCTTTATTGACAAATACCCTTGTTTCATCATAGAATGCATTCCTGCCAGCAGTGTTGTTTGGGAGCAGGCCAAGACCTGTGGTTTTGCCAGACCACCGTTCAGCTGTTTGTTGCAGACCCTAGATCGGGTGGAATGGTCACACGTCAAAATGGAGCAAACTAAAGAAAAAGTATGATAGGTTCACATCAAACAAAGTAGGACTGACAGCACACTGAGAAACATCTCCATCAGTGGCTAACTAACTGTCTGCGTCGCTTGCCCGCGACTGCTCGTCTCAAACTGGTGACGTTTAGTTAGGCTGCTACTGTAATGTTTTTATTTATACATAATATTTATATTGGTTCTAATCTGAAAACGTTTGGTTCCTAATTATTATGTTATTTTTTTTTCCTGTTATGTTTCTATAACTTAGAGTCACATTACTGGCTTACTGTGAACTACTGCCTCCCCCCCTGAGTACAGCCCTACAGACCACTAGAGGGTGTTTTACGGACCACAGGTGGTCAGCAGCCCACAGGTTGAGAAATCCTGCCCTACAGCAGATCAGCTGTGCTCATTCATGCTGAAGTTTTAAGGAGTGTTTAGTTGGACTGCTTTTTGAATGAGGCTCAGTACAAGGCAACCAATCAGAACAAAGGTTATTTACATATTATCACTGTCGTAACAAAACCTCCAAAATGGTAACTTTTCTGAAGAAGGAAAAAGCCTAATTAACGTGTAATGGAAGTTGATGTACAAAGATTTTTTTCCAAGTAGTTTGGACCATTTTTGATGGTGATGAACTTTTACATATTGTAAGGGCAGCTGGTGTTTACAAATTATATAAAAATAATTAAAATTAAAAAAGGACAAAAATCCAGGTATGAGGTTTTGTTCCAACAGTGGGGATATAATAGTATTAATGTCACAGGAGCAAAACCAGCCAGTTTAATTTTTAAGGAATAAGGAGAGGTTAAAAAATTGTCATGTGAAACATTTTTGGTATGTAAAACCACACAAACATCACAAATGTAAATATGTTGTGGACATCACAAGGAAAAAAATTAAATGCAAATGCAAGATATGCATATTCATTTGCTATGAAAATCTATTCATTTACATTAATTAATTTTCAACATTTAAAGAATGAATACTATCCCAGCTGTATTCCAGATGTGTCAAGATAGCTGAACCGCTTACCAAGGCCGTGACAGTGTAACTGACCTCTCTGAACTCTGGATTTAGCAAGCACAACCCTTCAGAAAGGCTGAGTCAAGTTCACTCACGTTAGATACATTACAGCCCTTCCTACTAATGGTATTTATAATTTTCTAAATGACATGCTTATTAATTAACCCCTTCTATTTTATGAGACTGTTATTTTGATTGAGAGGCCACATCTCTATGATATGTGATATGTGATATGGCTGCTATGATCCATTAGCATCGAGAGATGTCATTAGGTCATGGTGGAAAGCCTTCAGAAAGACTGTCTGGCTGAATATCTGACTTGATTCATTGTCAGGGTAGATTCTGACTGGCAGCTAGTGAGTGTACTGCTTTGTCCTGTTCTATTACATACATGTCTCCTTCACTAGATGTATGAAGGGTTTCCTTGGGGACGATGCAGGGACGTTGAAACACTTTGTGTCTCTACCACTGACTGGAGAAACATGCTATTTGGAGTCGGAGTGAATGCTAAGTGTGACATGTCTAAGAGTGATGTCGGTAGAGAGCTGTCACTGGAATACGTAGGCTTAGCTCAGTGGATGCTCTACAGAGTCAGAATGCAGAGGCCTGATAGAGGATGAAGAGTACAGGCATACAGGCAAACTGAAAACTTTGAGAAGATACAACAAGGAGTGCACAGAAAAGAGTTGCCTAATATGTCACTGGATTTATGGAGTATGACAGTGATATTTAGATCCTAAAATGTCAGTGCACTTCTAGTTTAAAATATCTGACGTGGTGATGACATATACGGCAAGTGTAATATATCTGCACTGTTGTTTGTAAGAGCAACAGATTCATTTAACATGTTAAATGTAACCAATCATTAGAGGAGGGGTTCAGCGAGAAATCGTATTTGCTCAGTTTTCCACTTAGCCCAGATGTAATAGATCACCAAGTTTGGTGTCCGTATTTTGCTTCTTTAGTTTAGCGCTTGAGCTACAACGCTGATGTTCCTAACAAACACTAGAACTCAATACATAACTAAATACTTAATAAATACATCGACAGAATGTCTCTCAACCCACTCAAACTGCATTGAGGTCTTGATTAAGGTGGCTTCGACTTGTGGATGTGGTTTAGGACACAGTATAATTTACTGTGAACTATAAACTGAACAAAACTTTTCTACGTAGCTGAACACAAATTCTAACTCACCTGCAGAATCTCTCTCCCTTTCAGGTCTCTCAGGTATATATACGCTGGTTTGCATTCACAATTTCCATTGTTTCTAATTATAAACACACATCCTCATTAAAGAAATCAGGATTAAACAGTTATTTATACATAAAACCAGCAGACATTGTGAATGTAATTTGTGGTGTTAACATGCCTTCATGATGTGATGTTTTTTACCTTTTTTAGCTTTTTTTTTTCAGATATCTCTCATCTTGTGATTAGAATGGCCATTTTTACACAGAACAAAGGGCAACACTTTACTGTAGGGTTCTGTTTATAAGGCTATATGACACCTAGATAAGCTTGTCATGACTACTGACATAACCCTACATAAATGTTTATAAATACTTATTCCAATAGACACCATCTGTCATAAAGGTTACTTTAGCTAACTTTGATCAAAATTGGCAATTATGTCTGTAGTCATTACAACCTTGTGTAGGTGTTATGTAGCCTTATGAACAGAATCCTAAAATAAAGTGTTACTGAACAAGGTGTAAGCTCTTTTTAAGTGTATATACATTAGACATTTATGAGCATTTACCTTTTTTTTTTGATCAGGAGATGGCATCCCCTCCTAGAACAAACCCACCTCGGTCTCCTCTGAGGGTCTCTTGCTTGCCATCTTTCATGGAAACCACTGACAGTAATCAAAACTAGGCATCTGGCTGCATCCTATCTATTTTAATGTTGTTTATAGCTCAGTTGCACTGTTTTATAATATCTATATTATATTATTTTGCAGAAGGAAAAGCTACTTTACAGTATTTTATTTTGAAATAGATTTTTTGTTTTCTGAGCCAAAACAGTCTACGTAGTGTGCAATTAGAGCCCTCTATAATCAAGACATTTATTGAAAATTTAATTAGTGTGTGTTTTGTTACACCCTACCAATCATGCAAGTTGATGCAAATTTACAGTGTCTGATTTTGGATTTGGCTACTGTCATGCAGTTATGCACAATGACTAACACTAACCAGATCAAGCTCCTGCAGCAAATAAATCAGTGTGTCAGATGTTCTCATTTTCTCCTGCTGTGCCAGCTGAGTGTTTTCCAATAATATGTTCAATATGTTATTACTGCAGAAGAAGGAAAATGAGTGCACAGCAGCAACAGTAAAATAATGAAAGTCTGTGTGTGTGTATTTGTATTAGAATGGCACAGTATGTAGTTTTTTCTCTGAGTTCTGACTGTGCCTTTAAACATATGGTGGTAGTATGAGGAGAGACTGCGTGGGGCAGCTTCTGCTTTAAGCCCCCTTTAGATGAATGAAAGCGGAACTGACAGATTTGAGGAACAGGAAGGAGAAATGGTAGAGGAAGGGTGCGAAAACTTAATCACAGCAAACAGAAGGTAGAAATGGGAATTTATAGGATGTTAGATTGGAAGGAGGAGGGGATTCAGGCATGGTTGTCCTCCCAAACCTCAGTTATTCTTCACTAGCTGTCATCACAATATTGGTCTCTGCAGTGCTGAAACATGAATATTGCAGAAGTGTGCGATATGTAAATGAGCGCATTTAGAGTAAACATCGTTTAAAAGGCCTGTTGCTGTGTCTGCCTTTAACACGATGCAGCCAGTTCTGCTGGATAAAATGGTGGATTTGGCTGATGCTATTTGAAAACTAGGAAACTAGCCAGTAGAAAGAGTCCACAAACCGCTGCCTTGATGTACAATCTTTAAGAATAAAATGAAAAGCTTGTAGAGCCGTTTCTGAATGCAAGGTTTGGCCTGTTTAAGTAAGATTTGAGCTCCCTTATCAGCAGCACAGAGATCTTTATCCAT